GGGATGGGATGGGATGGGATGGGATGGGATGGGATGGGATGGGAGTCCTGGAACTCTGTTGGTGTGGATGTAGGGGGATGACCTGGGGCAGTTGGATCCCTGTCCCTGGTGCTCACAGTGCAGCTGGAAGAACTGATTCATCCTGGCACAGGGACAGATGGGAAGGAATAGGTACCTGGTGGGTCTGGAAGCCAAACTCTCAGGTTTTGTGAAGTGTGAGGAGAGCAAAACCACTCCAGTTCCATCAAAAAACAACAATGACTTCAAGATGTCCATTAAAAGGGGGAAGGAATTTTTGGGGGAGAAAAGGGGAGGGTGTCAGCTGTAGGAAGTGAAGTTGCAATCCTGGAGTTGCTGCAGCTTCTGATGTACAGTGAGTGGAGGGGAATGACCACTGAGAAGGGCAGAATCCCAAAATCTCCCCTGTTTTGTCGAGACCCTCATCCCAGGCCTTAATACATTCCTGGCACTGGGACCAGGCAGCAATGTGCTTGCCCAGCTCTCCTTCACTCCCCATGTGTGTTAGGGACCCTATGGAAAAACACCTCCCACCCCGTTGTTTGTCTTGGCAGATTAAAGCTGTAATTAAAATCCAGGCTTTTGTGCGAGCCAACAAGGCCCGTGGGGATTACAGGCTGCTGGGTAAGTGTGTGCCTGCTCATTGCTGCTCTGAGTGTGATGGCTAATTGGGAAGGGGACTCTGCCTCCAAAAGGGGGAAGCAGTTATGAGCAGGGCTGCTGGTGGCCCCTTGGCAAGGACAGCATGACAGAGCCTTGGTGGTCCTTGATCATCAGCTCTGGCACTGCCCCTCTGCCCCCAAAACTTCCTGGAGGTTTTTGTGGCTGTGTGCTGTCCCATGTCCTGGTGCTGCAAGAAGATGTTTTTTGGGGAGGAGGATGGGATGTCTGAGGGTTTGCAGTGGGGGAAATTATTCATGGCCTTACTGGGCATTGCTGCAGTCCACACCAAGAGCCCACCCTTGAGCATCGTCCGGCGCTTCATCCACCTGCTGGAGCAGAGCCAGCACGACTTCTGGGAGGAGTCAGAGGTGCTGAGGCTGCAGGAGGAGGTGGTGAAGAGGATCCGTGCCAGCCGGCAGCTGGAGAGCGACCTGGACCTCATGGACATCAAGATTGGGCTGCTGGTCAAGAACAGGATCACTCTGCAGGTACAGAGAGAGGGAGACGACTTGGCTGCCCCAAGCCAGCCTGCCCTCCATGGCATCGCAGCTTGGACTTGTCTCTGCTTCACTTTTTAAGCAGTTGGAGGGGCTGGGGAGCACTAGGGTGTTGTCATCTTATTCCAAAAGTTCCATGGTGATTTCTCATGGGCAGCTCCTTGCAGCACTGACTCCTTCTTCCTCACATCACAACCAAGGAACTCCAACTCCCTTCTCTACCAGCCAACCCACTCTTCTGTAGCACTCTTCTTCTTATTGTGGCCTGTTCCTAATCTTTGCTGATTGGTACAGCTGCAACTCCTCAGGTCTCAGAATCTCTGCTGGCCACAGTGACTCTGTGTACAAGTCTCTTTTCCCAGTCTGGTAGTCAAAGAAGGAGTCAGGATTCTTTTGTTCTCATTCTCAAGGTTGTTTATTATTTCTTATCTATAAAATTCTTTCTCTGACCCACTGAGGTCTGTTCAGCAGGTCAGACAGAGGCACACTGGTGTTATCTTTTTATCCTAAAAACTACATGTACAATATTTACAATTACTTCCCAATACCTATAGCCTATGTTAGACAGTGAGTTTCTACCTTAAACCAATCTAAAGGTGCCACCATCACAGCAGAAGATGGAGGCTAAGAAGAAGAAGGAGAAAGGCTGGACACACTGAGATTTCTCCATCTTGCCCCCTGAACCCCCATTCTAAAAACCCCAAGAATCTATTTTTCACTCTGTGATAAACTAACTATCATTCTACTTAAACTTTCTTGACTTGTAATTCTTCATATAAGGTTGGTATTTTTTTTCATGGGTCAAGATCAAAGGCACAGGGGTCTTGGGCTCTGTGCCAGGGTCTCTGAGCCCCCTGGCAGGGGGGGTTTGAGCAACCCAGGGCAGCCAGAGGAATTTCCTGTGTTCTCACTCAGGGCTGAGATTGCCTTCTGCACTATTCTCCTACATTCTCTCCCTCCACACTAGGGTGCCTCTGGCTCTCCCAGAAACTGGTCAGAATTCCAGAGCCTCAGGCAAACCCCAGTGCTTCTCTCCCCCCACAGGAGGTGGTGTCCCACTGCAAGAAGCTGACCAAGAAGAACAAGGAGCAGCTCTCAGAGATGATGTCCATGGACAAGCAGAAGGGGCTCAAGACACTCAGCAAGGAGAAGAGGCAGAAGCTGGAGGCCTATCAGCACCTCTTCTACCTGCTGCAGGTGGGGCTGGGGTGTGGTGGTGTTCACAGGGGTCTTAGGGTGAGGGAAGGGATGAGGATCTGACTCCATGTTTCAGAAGGCTTGATTTATTATTTTATGATATATATTATATTAAAACTATACTAAAAGAATAGAAGAAAGTTTTCATCAGAAGGCTGGCTAAGAATAGCAAAAGAATGATAACAAATGTTTGTGACTGACTGAGACAGTCTGGATAGCTGGACTGTGATTGGCATTAATTAGAAACAACCACATGAGACCAATCCCAGATGCCCCTGTTGCATCCCACAGCAGCAGATAACCATTGTTTACATTTTGTTCCTGAGGCCTCTCAGCTCCTCAGGAGGAAAAATCCTAAGGAAAGGATTTTTCAGAAAATATCCTGGCTACACTGGGGGACTCTGCTGTGTCCCCCACAACTGGAGGGGCAGTGCAGGGACCTGGCCTTTGGCTACCCCACAACACCTGGGCTAGCTTGGTGTCCCTCCTCCCTGCAGACACAGCCAGTGTACTTGGCCAGGCTGATCTTCCAGATGCCCCAGAACAAATCCACCAAATTCATGGAGTCGGTGATCTTTACTCTTTACAACTACGCTTCCAGCCCACGGGAGGCTTATCTGCTGCTGCAGCTCTTCAAAGTGGCACTGCAGGAGGAGATCAGGTGGGTGTCCTGCTGTGGGAAAGGCAGGAGGAGATCAGGTGGGTGTCCTGCTNTTACTATTATATTTATAGATTATAATATATCTAGATTTTAATTATTACAATATTTATTTATTAGTTACAATTACATTATTACATTATATTTTATCATATTTCATTTTATTATTATCATTGTAAAATTATTTTCATTATATATTTATATTATATTTATACATTTATATATAAATATATATAATTATATATATTTGTATAGAGAGATATATAATATATAAATTATAAATATATATTTATAACTATATTTATATGTTAGTTGTTATTATTATAGTTATATTACATAAATTTATTATTATTATTATTATTATTACTACTACTACTAAAGCAGGAGGTGCCCAGCTCACTAGAGCCCATCTCCCCCATCTCCCAGGCCACACAGGACAATGGAGCTGCTCTTTGCTGGGAAGAAGTCCAGGAAGGGGTCTGCCAGGCCAACCAGGACACAGTGGCAGCCAGGAGGAGTGAGTGCTCTCCCCATGTGGGTGCTGCTGGAGGCTGGGGGACAAGAAGGGGCTGATGTGAGCCCCTCTGCTCCCACAGTGGCTCTGGGCATAGCTGCCATCAACCAGGCCATCAAGGAAGGGAAGGCATCACAGACTCTGAGGGTGCTGTGCAACCCTGACGTGGCCCTGCATGGGGTGGTGAGTGCCTGTGCTGACACCTACCAGGAGCAGCTGGAGGCTCTGATGGCCACCAAGGGACCAGCAGGTAAAACCCTGGGGGCTGCAAAACCTCCCCTACCCCTGGCCAGGGTGTTCTGAGGGAGCAGCACCCTGCAGCAGCTCCCATCCATCCTGGCATGCAGGGAGCACAAAGCCATGCTGGGTCAGGCACAGGCTGCTGGATGGGGCTGAGTTCTACGTGAACCTGCAGACCTTGGAGGGCAGCTGGCAGTGCCCACGCCATGGCAGCTTCTACACCACACACCTGAGCAGGGAGGAGATGCAGGTATGGCAGGATGGGCTGGGTGGGTGTGATGGTGTTTGCAGGGGTCTTAGGATGAGGAAAGAGATGACATGTTCCACCATCCCATGGAGCTCCAAACCCCATCCAACCTGGCCTTGGACACTTCCAATGGTGCCACAGCTGCTCACAGGCCTCAGCACCCTCATGGAAAGTATTTCCTCCCAATATCCCATCCATCCCTGCCTGCTGGCAGTGGGAAGCCATTCCCCTGTGTCCTGTGACTCTGTGGGCACAGGGAGGTTTTGTTTCACCTGGACCAGCCCCAGCACATCCTGCCCAGCACCCAGGCACCACCAGCACTCCCTGCATGGCACAGGGCATCACTGTGCTTGCATTAATGCCCCCAAAGGGCATCACTGTGCTTGCATTAACCCCTTGCACACCCAGCTGTGACACAGCGTCCCCAGGGTTGTGCTGAAGGTGCCACCTCCCCAGGTCCCTCAGCAACTCCAGCCTTGCTCCTGCTCCCTCCTCACTCACTGCCAGAATTGCCTCCAGGAGCACAAAGGAGCTGCCAGATGGGTGGACTTTGGGAAAAAAAAAAAAAAAGAGATAAAAAAAAAATGGAATGAGGGAGTGTGACGGTGTTCACAGGGGTCTTAGGATCAGGAAAGAGATGAGAATGTTGACTCCATGTTTCAGAAGGCTTGATTTATTATTTTATGATATATAATATACTAAAACTATACTAAAAGAATAGAAGAAAGGATTTCATCAGAAGGCTGGCTAAGAATAGAAGAAGAATGATAACAAAGGCTTGTGACTGACTGAGACAGTGTGGACAGCTGGGCTGTGCTTGGCCATTAATTAGAAACAACCACATGAGACCAATGCCAGATCCCCTTGTTGCATTCTACAGCAGCAGATAATCATTGTTTACATTTTGTTCCTGAGGCCCCTCAGGAGGAAAAATCCTAAGGAAAGGATTTTTCAGAAAATATCCTGGCTACAGGTGGGCAGCGCCGGCACTGAGCTGGTGCTGCCTGGTGTCCTTGCAGTCTGTCATCACCCGAGTGACGCTGGCCCACGAGCGGGAGCGCCTGTGGGCATCCAGGGTGGCGCTGGTGGTGAAGC